GTGGTAGCCTTTGCAAGTGAGTTGAATCATCTTGTGGATTCTAAAATCGGAGAAGGATGTAACCTTGTTAAGGATCGTGGTGTGTTTTGTGCAGTGCTTATTCCTGTTGCTTTCTTCCTCTTCCAATATGCAGATCAGGTGTGATCACCAGTATGTGACGTACATGTGTGTTTGTGGGTGTTAAAGTAGAAAGCTGGAAAACAAAGATCTCTTCGTGTTTTCCAAATTTACTAGTCCTTTACATCTGTCACTAAAAAAACATCTAGAAAAGACTTTCAGTTACCCTTGTGTAGCTGTATGCAGATATTCTATTATGCGTACTAAAATTTCTCACGTTTTCTGTGTACGTTTATCTTAGTGTGAAATAATCTTCATGCGACTGTAAGGTTTTTTTTCTCACAACTAAGAAAAACATACCTCCCAGAGGCAAATGACTGATGGAGATTGCAAAGGCTTTGTAGTATTTCTGTGCTAGTGCCGCTCACATATATTCCCTTATCTAAAAGAAGGTGGTCTGAGATTTTGCACCTGTCCAAGCTAATGGGTTTCTTTTAATACCTAAACGTCTATATGAAGCTCGGGCATGTTTTTCACCCATGTGATTTGAAGTAACACATGTAACTTCATCAAAGTTACTTTTGATTTATCCCTGTGCAGAAGCTGGCTCTTTCAAGAACCTTATTTGCTGAAACTAATGCAAATATTTAATTCCTGAGGTTATAGTGTCTTTTGTTTGCATTTGTGTTATTCTAATTAAAAGCAAACCCCCTGTGTGGGGTGGATGTGGACAGTTACCACAACTCACGGACAAGCAACGTTTCGCCACCGGAGCTCTGGACCGGCCCAGAGACTCATCTAAAGAAATCCGGTCATGGGGTCAGGGTAGTCTATGCTGTATCATTTTCTGCATTCGAGTTATTTTTGTAAAATGTTTGAACAATACTTTGTGCCATTGTGTCAATAATAGTGGAAAATCTACCTTATCCCAAATAATACAAAAATAGAGTAGAAGAGCTATTTACGGGGGGAACAAATGGAAGGCTAGGCTAATGACATTAGAAAAACATATTGATGTTTTTGCATAGCTATGCAATAAAATATTTAGGTTAAAAATAAATCTGATGGGTTTAAGACTTAGTAGCACCCACGAGCATAAAAAATAATGTCTAAACCAAATTTATTGTTTTTCCCCAATGATTTTTGAGCATTAACTTTAAATGATTATTGTCATGTGTTCAGACAGTTTAGCTTCTTCAAAGTTGCTGTTTAGGAATAAATTAACAAAAATATATTTGGGATTTAGAAAGTTTCATATCTCAGAAGATACTAAATGTTGAGTTGTATCTAAATAAATGTTTTTGTCCCCAGTCCAGGAAGAAAAAAAAAAAAAAAAAAAAAAAATCAAAACAGATTCTTACATTTGAGCAGAGACATATGTTTTGTGGGTTGGCACCAGACTAGGATGCAGAATCTTGTAGAACCAACTCTTCATACTCTAGGATATTTAGAGGAACAACATTCAAAACAAGGTGCTAGAGAATTTATAAAAAAAAGGGGAGGGGGGAATATAGATTTTCTTTAAGACGGAAAATGTCTGTTTTGAGTCCCTTCATGACTGTCCCTTTATTTCCAGTGCTATGTAACTGTGTCTTTTGTGTCAGTGTCAAATGACATAACAGTATCAGATATTGTAAATAAGATAATGTGTTATTAGAAAGAAAATGCTTTCATTTCATTGGTAAATTCACATTAATTGAAGATGAGATCATAGTGACTCCTTCTGGCTGTTAGGATCATGATCTTAAAATCATATGAAGGAAAAATAACAAAATGCTTGGGTGCCGTTCAGCAAAACAAACAGGTCCCAAGAGATTTAGAAGATTGCCCTGAAACACGTGGTTTAACACAAAAGAAACTTTTTCCCTGTGATGTGATGCTCAAACTCCTTCGAGAAGGCTTAGAGATTTTGAGAACAAAATTAATGATACCCTTACAATTACTGCAGTTCTTGTGTATGAGAGAAAGATTATTAAATTTGATCAGCAATAACATCTGCAATGGGAACAAAGTTTAAATATCTGGATTTTGGTTGTGCAGTTCAGTGCCAACAAAAAAAGAAAATACCATCTATTAACACAAAAGGCAAAGTGAGAATGATTTACTTGTCAGGCAAAAAAAAAATATTTTTTCGGTGGCACTTAAAAAATCTGGGGACTTTTGGGTATGATTCAACTTCTTAAGAAAATTGAATGCTAAGTTTGAAGGGCAATTGATAGAAAGCCTCAATATCAAATTACATGCACAAAGTTGCTTTGGGGAAAACAAGTCACAGACTCTGAAACACTTTGAAGAATAATTGTTTAAAATGGCACAATGAAATGTTGCATTCATTTCCCTGTAGTTGCTCTGTATTATGTGTTCTCCCTTAAAAAAAACAAACATTTTTTACTCCAGTTCTCAGTGCATCTTCAATTTTAAGATCTCCTTGTCAGCAGGTGTGCTTTCTGGTTTGTAACCACTGATAAGTATCTTCAATGCTGAACTTATTCAACAAATCTGTTGATGGATTCTGCTTTGGCTTCCGTTACCAGTTTGCTCTTCTGACTTTATTGGTTTGGCGTATAAAACAAGTCAAGTACAGCCAAAGCCGAGCACAGCTAACAAAAGAAGCCTATGTCAGGACTGCACAAGATACAGACCTGTTGAATTAAAAGTAATTGTTTTGGTTTTAATGTTCATGCGGCATACCTTAATGCAGCAACATTTGGTATCTTAGATCGGGTTGTTTAGTGACTTGGAGCAGCTTATCAGCAGAACCTGTTGTTCTCCTGTTTCTTTCACAGACTGCTTCTGTGCGCTTCAAGGTATTTCATTAGATTATTTGAAACTTTTTTCCATTAGTCTCCTGCCCCTCAACCCTGTCTTGAACCATATCTGAAAATGCAGTGGCAGTCTGCTGGGGCAGCGTCACTTTCGGTGCATACACAGCAGCTTTTTAATACTTTAATAGGGTCATTTTGTATCTGGAATTTTTTCCCCATACAATCCATCAACTCTGTTTGGTAGGCATCAAGGCACAGTGTACGTCCAATTTCTTTTTCAGATTTTTCATTAGAAAAGGAGAGTTAGCATAATCATGGTATAGCCTATGCAATTTTATTTCAGAGACTGATCTGACAGTTATCTTTTCTACAAGGATTCTAAATTTTTGGAAGCACTAGAAAGAGCAGAGAATATTCATTTAAGTATTCAATAACTTGCTATTTTGTAGAAGAAGTTGATTTGAAAGGTGTTTATTCTCAGATGATGGAAGTTGGGGGGCTTTGGAATGATTTCAGAAGAAAGAAACATAGACAATTCAGATAAAGCATTATCATAAAACTGAGATGAAATAACTTTTTGCATTGATATAGGCAAACTGCAACAACTTAAGTGTTTTTGCTATTAGAGGCATTTAACTATTATTTAAGCAGCAATTAATTGTCCACAAAGCCTGCTAAGTAATCTGGTGATCTGATCACCTTTCCCATGTGTCCTGACTGCTGGCAATTGGATGTCCCAGGCTTGCAAGTAAATAAATGAGTAAATAGATAAATCATGTTCTAAAAAAAATATATATTCAAGACGAATTAGTTGCTTGTGTTAACCCAAGTTGGATTGCTGCTGTGGTTGTACACTGTCAAGAGGCAGCAGTAGGTTTTCCTGTGCTCAGAGTTGGATTCCTCCGTAATCCGAGAAAGTCTAAACCAAGTGGAATCAACTGAGTAGAGGGGAAAATTGTTTACAAGACAGAAGCTGTTTGACTTGATTAGTCTTCTGGTTAATTGCATCTGTTGCTAAATGAGGACTGAAAGATTTCAAAAGTATTGCAGCATATGTTAGGTTATATGGGTACCGGCGGGGCTTAGTTTTGTATATACCATCGAGCATGTACATAAGGGTTGGTTATACTGACTTAAGGCTGTTATCAAACTTTGTCTTGTGTTACTCAGCTATGCTTTGAGGTTCCTTCATTAAGGAAATGTTCTGCAGAGCAGAGAATGTCAGGACGTTCTGGACATCAGGAAACACCTTTTTACTGTGCGGGTGGTTGACCGCTGGACCAGGTTGCCCAGAGAGGCTGTGGAGTCTCCAGCCGTGGAGATGTTCAGAGTCCGACTGACCGCGGTCCTGGGCCACCAGCTCTGGGTTGCCCTGCTTGATCAGGTGGGGTGGGCCACATCGTCTCCAGAGGTCCCAGGCAACCTCAACTACTCTGTGGAAATTTTATCGTGGTTATAGTAGACAAGTGGGTTATCTTTCAATGAAAGAAGTTGAGACCTGAAAAAAAAATATTGTAGCTATTTGGCGTTTTAGTAGAAGTTGATTCCAAAGAAAGTACGTGCATAGACTAGTTCGTTTGATGCTGACCTTACCATAAGCATAGTAATTTTTTTTAAATTCATCTTTTCATAGTTACACTATTGAAATATGAAAACAGCACTAAGAAATTATACTGTATGGTTATACTGTTGAAATTATTTTTTTTTAAACATAACTGGCATTTTTAGGGAGATTGTTTTAAAGTTACCTTTAATTTGACTTTTCAAAGTTTAGGGAGGTAGTTTAACTTTTCATAATCTATTAGTGCTTATAATATAATGCATTTCAATACTAATTTGTAATTTTATTTATCTTTTCTAATCTTTAATTCATGGGATGATTACTGCTGTTGTTATTTTGGTATGATGACAGTGAATTTCCCAAGTTTGAGGTATTTAGTCTTAACAATTATTCTGCATTAGTATATTTATATGCCTCAAGTAGATAAATGCTTTCCCATGTAATGGCTCTGGTGCTTCTCTTTGTTTTTAACAGCAGCTAATAAATTCATGTATTGTATGAAATGCACAATTTTACTTTGTGCCTTCTTAATAAATAAATAATTTTTTTTTAAATCCTCAGTCTAGTTGCAACTAACCTGGCTTACATACTGCTTTGTGGTGTTTTTCTTCAGATCCTTATTGACGATGGTGGTCATTGGAGGCATAAATATTGAAGAATATATCATTTACAGACAAGATCTTTGAAATCTGTTTCCTTCAGACAGCAAAGGTAAATAAAATAATCTATATTATGCATTTTTATATAAGCAATAAGTTAGATAGTTTTTTACCTCAAAAATAACCAAAATTGAACAGCAGCTGAAGTTCAGGAGCCTGACTACACTACCAAAAGTTTTAACTTTTTTTAGTAAGTTTATTTATCCTACTAATGTGAAAAATAAGCTATATGGAAGGAGCTTGGTTTCTTTTCCTCCTTTTAGTTACAAGAATATGAGTCCTTAAGTCCTTTTTTTTCTGCAATTAATGCTATTCCTTATTCTTCCTTTCTCACAAGTTTTTCAAACTACAAATCATTTGCAATATCTGTGTGTGATACTGATGAGAACCAGGAATACCTTATATGTTAAAATCTGAAGAGTAGTTGGGCATGGGGATTACTACTCAAAAAGACAAAAGTTACGTGGAAAAGAAATAAACAGCCAGCAATACACAAAGTAAAATAGTGGTCAATCTCTTGAAGATTTCTATAGAAGTTTAGAAATGTGACTTCTTTTTAATTAAATATTAGAGACACAAATCTGATGTGCACTCCACTTGTATTATTTATTTTGAATGTGTGGGCTTTTGATCAAAATAAATGTTAGATATTTGGGAGAGTTTTGTTTGTGTATTATTTTTTTCTATTTTGAAACTAAGTATATAAAACACTCTAGGTAATATGGGAAGAATTTTTTCTGTTATGGAAATAGAGCTAATTTTCCCACTCATTATCTGCTGTTAATTTAATGTGTGGCAATATCTGAAATTTAGTGATGATTATATGGCAGTAGATTTTTGGTTAGCTGTACAGCTCATCTATGAGCAAACCAATTAAGACATAATTTCAGAATATAATTGAACTCCTAATGGGGCACTTTAATTCACTAGAAACTTACATATTTGCTTTGCTTTGTTTTAGTAGACAGGTCCAAAATGAGGGTACAGCTTCATTTTTGAACTTCTGAATACAGCAACTTCATCTGAGACTTTTGAAAATGAAGCATGTAAAATGCTGTTGAATAAGAGGATGGATAAATTCATGAATAAGCTACTTAGTTCTCAAATCTGAACTTTGGATAGCTCTCCTTAGCTCTTTATTTGAAGAATAAGGCTTGCTGTGTTGTTAGGATGCCGTGGCCCTATTGACAGTCTTTTCACCTGAAGTGCAACACCATGCGATGCAACACAGTGAAAACTGATCTACTTAGTACAAAGTTTGTTCACTGTTTGTAACTAGTTTGCTTCCTTTAGGCATGTCTGGGCAGCCTTGATGTGCTGGGAAAGGGCTCATTCTGCAGATCTTTGTAACTGATTTTTCAAGCAGCGTGAATAGAAAATTCTTGGAACCGCATAGTTAGCCCAGACCCAGCCTGATGGAGCATTGTCCTGGTTTCAGCTGGGATGTAGTTAACTGTCTTCCTAGTAGCTGGTACAGTGCTGTGTTTTGAGTTCAGTATGTGAAGAATGTTGATAACACTGACGTTTTCAGTTGTTGCTCAGTAGTGTTTAGACTATAGTCAAGGATTTTTCAGCTTCTCATGCCCAGCCAGGGCACCTGACCCAAACTGGCCAACAGTGTATTCCATACTATGTGACATCCCATCTAGTTTAGGAACTAGGCTGGGACACACAGGGTCGGAGATCTGTCTCACTTCTGTGTTACAAAAATGAAGTACCTCATTTACGTAGTGTTTGTAATGCATTTCGGGTTTACTGCCCCTTCAGTTTCTTTTTATGTAAGTCAGAATGAAACTCCCCTTTTACTTTCTTGAGGTTTTTTTCAGCCCAAGTTTAACTGCAAGGGCACTAAAATGTTATGTTACTCATGTGTATCACCATATGCAGTGGACACTGGCTAACGCAGCCCTGGTTCCATTGGGTTTTGCATCGTTCTAGATTTTCTCAGCTCCCAGGTGATGCTGCAAGAGAACAGCAGATGGGAAAGAGTTAAAAAGCGCAGCATGCATAACTGACTTACATGACCTAAAATAAGGAAACAAACAGTAGCTGTTTATTAGAGCAAAGCTCAAATTGAGAAAGAAATGAAGGCAGTTCTCATCTTTTTCTTCTTTTTCCCTTTTTTTTTTTTTTTTTTGACCCCCAGAATGGAAGACCTTTTTCATTTAAAAGATAAACACTACTGAGCTGAGAGAGGTAATTTCTACCTCTGCCATGTTGAGGTTAAATTTTTGTGTTTGTTTTGTTGTTACTGTTTCCTTCAAGGATAGACCTTTGCGTATGGTTTTGTTTGTTCTAAAATGGGGACCTAAAACATTTGGTAAAGGAAAACCAAACATTTGGGGGGAATAATTATCAAAGTTTGTATTTGGGTTAAGAAGAAACATTTTTCTGTATGTGAAAAACTGGGACAGGGAAAATATTTCTTTCTGTAAGGTTAATGTTTTACTGGTTATTTCCTTAAAGTTTTCATATGTACATGTGGATAAACCTCAGAATGCTTCTACGAAATCCAAAAAACCACTTAGCTCTCATTCTCAGCATCTTAGCTTTTATTTTGTATTCCTTTGTCTACCAATAATAAAATGTTCGCAGCTGTATAGGTATGTGGAGACACTGTTTCTATTCCATTTGATCTATTTTTAAATGCAGGGGCTTTTTGTATTTAATACGCATTACTGTGCTTGCAGTCTAATACTTCAAACCTTAGTGACCTTGGTTCACCTACTTGTACCTTGTACATTATCATGCAGTCTTTAATTATACGATAGCATGCTATTTTTCTCCATAGAAGGAAATCTTTGCAATAAATAGATGGCATTTAATCAGTATGGAGCTATCTAGTATTTTTAATTGTTCGGTGTGTGGTTCCAGATCTTCTGTACTATATAATTTTCAAATGTCACTCTGCAGATAGAATTAGGAATTTGCCTTTATGCTTTACTGTACCTTTTAGCAACAGGTTTTCTCTAAGACTTTCTGGCAAAATGCAATCTCTGAAGCCCAGCTTATTTTGCAGAAACATTTTCAGTTCCAGGAGTTTCCCTTGCCAGCTCTTTTGATGGACTGCTGGGGTTTGTATACTTTTACAGTAGTTGCAGAACTGGAGTACTCCCTCTGTGAAGATTCTTTCAAGCCAGAAAAGCGAGAGCAGCGATCCTCCATGAAAAGCACAGGAATTGAAAGGATTGTTGGCCTAGGCATCTTTTTTTGAAGTCATGATTTCATTCTTCTTGGTTCTCAGTTTCCCATTCAGCTATTCTTACTTGTATCCTAGTTCCTTGTATGTCTCGTGTCCTGCATCTCTGTTTTCATTCTCCCTCATCCAAGTAATTTCTAATATTAGCCAGTTTCTATTTCAAGTTCATTATCCATTCTCACACGGTACCAGTCTTCCCTCATTTCACTTGCTTTCCAGAATTATTGTTCTATTCTGGCTCCAGATTTGCGCCTGTTTTTCTCAGGGTGAGTCTGCACAGATGGGTCTTGAAGGTTGCACATCTTTCTACCCATGCTCTGAGTCAGCCGATGCAAGTCAACTTCAGTACAGCAGCCCTGTAGCTACTTCAGCGTGTCTGTGAAGGGCTACGGAGGAGCTAAGTCTGCCTCTGCTGTGCTAAGAAGGTTACACACAACCGTAATGCAAAGATCAGCCGTCTGCCAAATGGCATCCTTGCTGTAGTGCGTATATACATGGAAATTTTGCGTTTCCAAAAAGGTATGTTTCAAAAAGCTTTAAAATGTGTGTTGGAAACCAGTTTGGAATTTACAGTTATTTTTAATACACATATAGCAGTTTTAGCATGAACACTGTGGAGCTTCCTTATCTGTAAACTGAGATGGCATTTATTGATTTGTATTATTTATTTCAGCATGTGAAAGAAACCAGAATGATACATTACAAGTCCTCATAATATTTTGTCTTGTTAGTCACTTAGAAGGGTGCAAAAATATATCGGAGAAATATTGCATGAATAAAATAGAAAACTGGTTATGCAGACTTAAGGAGGATAAGTGAGGTTTACATCTGTTTCTTGTATTTTGTCTTTTTAAACAGTACATGGAAAATTCTAGTAGCTAGATAGTATTTTTATATTGTGTGATAAAATGATAGACTTGTTTAGTCCCCTGTGCCATCTCCAGCTGCAAGCCATGTAGTCGTTGAGAACTTTCTGAACTGCTTAATTCTGGGACTCATGATATATCGCAGCACAAAATTGGGCCTCTCACTATCCAAACTTCAGGATTTATAAGGCTGTTTAATTATACTGAAGTATATAACGTATGACTTGGCGCTGCATACACAGTTCTTCTCTAAATAGTTTGTCTTAGAACTGTGTCGTTACTAATGTTTTGATTGTAGTTATTCTAAGACAGAGAAGGAACAGCGTCATGTTGCATCATTTTTCTCCCTAAAGCAGTCTGCAGTCTGGATTGATGGACAATTTTTCCTGAATTGTCATTAAAACCAAGGAGCCCAATTGTCTTTTCTGAAGCCCTGATGTTTTCCTGAGAACAGTCAATTTTCTGTCTCTGTCTCATCTTTTAATATGAAAAGGTTGGGGTTTTGTGAAATTCAAGTTACTTTCACTAATACAAGATGTAAACTAATTCTACCTTCTTAAATTTAATAAAGGGAAACCTACTTAATTTGAAAGTTACTTTACAGAAATTATTTAAAGGATTTTGGAAAAAAAAATATATTCCTATAATATTGCTCCACAATATGACTACTTTTAGGTACATTTTAGAGCCAAATTTTAGAGTACATTTCAAATATGGTAGATTTGATAAGTCATTCTCTGCCTTAGGTAAAAATTTTGTACCTCTTCTGCCATGTTTTTCACATTTCACCAGAGCAAGAAGTTTATTTTCAATGGTTCCCGTTTCTTTTCTAGCTGGTCCTTCTGAAACAATTTTCAAATAGAATATGGGCTGCTGTTTTGAACCTTTTCTGGAAGCAGATACTGTAAATAAATATTGCAAAATACAAGGGCTTTCCATTTTGAAAAATTGGAACAGCAGGCACCCTGAACAAAAGTAAATAGTCCT